CCTCCTCGCCCTTCATCTTCGCCATCCATTTCCTGCCTCTAATCTCCTCGAAACAGAACTCTTCGTTACCGCCCGGATATAAGAGCTGTTCCGAGAAGTAGAACCTCTTCTTAGGGTCGGGTCTCTCGAAACGCGCGACGAGAGGGCTGTTGGGGTTACGGGTCTTCGGCTTCACCACACTGTCCGCGTGGTTATCATTGTCTGACTCCCGGTTTGGCTCCACTTTAGCCACAGGTCTTGCATTTGGTTGGCTTTCGCTTTCTTTTGCCGACTTCTGGTCCTTCGGCTGACCAACGCTTCCCACACTCGACACGTGTTTGGCTTTGGGGTTAGACTTCGTGGCGCGGGTTGTCTTCGCCCCCGGTTTACCACAATTGGGTTCAATTGTCTTCAGAATCTGTGGCCAAACAAAACAAAACACAAGCAATGAGTGAGTGATAGCTCTTAGGGTATGAACGGATGGTTACCGTTGAGCGCTGTTTAAGAGCTCTTCGGCCGCCAGCGGTGGACAACACCTGTGAGGAGTCGTTCTCGTTGTTCTGCATCCCTTTCCGATGGTTGTGTCCACACAACTATCACCGCAAACTAATCCACACCTCTTGAGACCAAATACGCGTGCAATCAATGGGTAAACACAGAAACTGATGACTGAAATGAGTGGCAATTAAACAGACAATTGGATCACAATTGGAGTCAATGTTTACGATTGCATTCAAAACGGGTTTTCAAAACACAACTGAAAAATACATTCAAATAAACATTTCAAACAGTCGTGAGTCACGCCCACAGACTCACGTGTCAGCCAATCGTATGCGCGCCGCACACACAGTGTTCACAAACCATTCATACAAAACGTAACACTAATTAAATTACGGTAATTCACTTTCCAAACTTTAATAAACTTTTTAGCTTGATTAATTTGCTAATTAAATAGCGCTCAGACATTGAGTTATGGTATAGAAGTGTACATTTATTTATGAATTAATAGTAGTAAATTATTGGTTGATTTATAAATGAATTTAAAAATTAGATAATTATTTTAAATGTTATATTTCGGTAAACGTATAGATATT